TTTTCTTTCCGCAATCCCTTGGGTATAGTCATTCCTTTTTTCAGCTCTTTGTATTGCTTCCAGAACTCTCTGAAGGGCTGGTTTTGTGGACGTGAATTCCTTCAGCCTATTTATGTCATGGAAGATTTTTCTTTCCTCTTCGACTATAATAGACATTTTTGGGGGGTATAGTAATCTGGGTTGGCATCTTTGGTCATTTAAAACTGGGAATACTTTGGTCCAGGCTCTTCTGGCTTTCATAATTTGCACTGAAAAGTCAGCTGTAATCCTAATGGGTTTTCCTTTATATGTGACTTGTTGTTTCTCTTTTGTAGCTTTCAGAATTGTCTCTTTGTTTTGTACGTGTAGTGTTTTTACTACGATGTGCCTTGGAGCATTTCTTTTCTTGTCCTGTCTGTTTGGTGTTTTATATGCTTCTTGTATTTGTATGGGCATGTCTTTCTTTAATTTTGGGAAATTTTCTTCTGTTCCATGCCATTATCTTGGGATTCTTCTCCTTCCTGTATGCCTATGATTCATAAGGTTGGTCTTTTTATAGGTTTCACACAATTCCTGTGTATTTCATTCTTTGATTTCTTAAATTTTTCGTAATCTTTGTTTGAGTGGTCTAGTTCATCCACTTTATCTTCCAGTCTTGATAAAAAGACTGTTTTCCATTTCATTCATCCTATTGGTGAGGCTTTCTCCTGTCGTTTCTAATTGGCTTACTGAGTGTTTCACTTCCTTCTTCATTTCAGCCTTAGTATTCTTCAATATTTCTAACTCTTTTCTGAATTCATTCAGAAGTTTATCTCTATCTTCCTTCAGTTCTTTGATTTCTTTTTTGTGTGTTCTTTAAATTCACTGAATTTTTTTATCATGTTTATAATTGTCCTTTTGAATTCCATGTCCTGCATTATCTCGGTGGGGGGGGGGTTGCGTCTATTGGTGGAGATATGTCATTTTGGTTTTTCATATTATTGTGATAATGACATGCAAATTTCTTTTGTAGTTTCTGCTTCTTGTGTGAGACTCAGGCCTTCAAGTTTCGGTCTGCTTCTTTCTGTGAACTTTATGTGTCTTTGTGGCTTACTTTTTGGGCCGTGAGACTCAGGCCTTCAAGTTTAGGTCTACTTCTTTTTGTGAACTTTATATGTCTTTGTGGTTTACTTTTTGGACATGAACAGCTGGTTCATCTAAGCTTCTGGTTCTCTATTTTGGTTTTATATTGGAGTGGCTAGATTGCTTTTGTCTTCAGGAGTTCCCACAGAGGCCCAATTCAGGTGAGCGTCAGAAGTTTTCAGGCTTTCTCCTAAGGTCTGGATCCCTCCAGGAACGATTTTGGCCTCAGGAATTTGGGGGTTGGACTGGCCTGGGAGCCTGGCCCAGGAAAGATGCTGGTCTAGGGCAGCTGGTGGCCATGCCACCCAGAGATGCAAAGGCAGATGGGGCAGGAAGAGGCCCCAAGGACTCCTGGGAACTGCACTGAGGAGCTGGGTTGGTTTGGATGCAAAGAATCAGGAAGAGGAACAGTCAGCCCCTGTGTCCCAGAAAGAGGGTGGAGGGTGGTGCAGGCCCAGGGAAGCAGAAGGAGGTGAGAGCTGGGTCAGGCCCAGAAGTAGTGCTCCTGGGGCCCAGAGAAGGCACTAGGTTGCTCTGGATGAAAAGAATCATGAAGCAGTATTGGTTCCCCAGGTGTCTGGGGCCCCAAGAAAAGGAATGGGACAGGACCCAAATTAGGAGGAACCTGCAGGAGAGATAGGAGGGTGAATGAGGCTGGTGGAGTCAAGGCGCTGAACGCTCATGGACTCACCCCAGAGAAAGGCCTGCATGTAGGAGAAAGGCCTGCAGAGGGTCTTTCAGGCCCAGGGAAGCAGAGGGAGGTCTAAAATTAATTTTTATGTTAATGAGTATATTGTCTGCATGTGTGTAAGTGCATCCCTGTCATGCAGTGCTCAAGGTCAGAAGAGGGTACTGGATTCCTTTGAACTGGAGTTCCAAACCTTTGTTAGCCACCATGTGGGTGCTGGGATTCAAACCCAGGTTTTCTGCAAGAACAGCCAGTTCTTTTAACCACTGAGCCATCTCTCCAGCCCCTATTATGTATTTGTGCAGAAAATATTTGAAACACATGTTCATCAAAGTCTTATTCCTCTGTCTTTACACAACTCACCCTACACTGAGGCTGCACAATGCTCCACTCTTGGTAATGGCCTTATCTACAATGATAAGTCAGCTATTTTGCTTCCTTCCCTCCAAATTTTCTTCCCTTAAGCTCTTCCCTAATGGTCTTCCCCTCCTCCTTTTTGCTCTCTTGCCTGTACTTCCTTTGACTTTTGGGCTTCCATATCCACTTTACTGCAGCGGGGCCCTCCGGGTTCCTAGACTCCAGATACTGTCCTGTAGTTTCCCTCCATGCTGCTCCATGACATAGAGTAAGCAGTATGCTGGTCTCTCTAAAACTTACCTCAAGAGACATTGACCTTGATCCTTCTGCCGAGAATGTTTTCCTTCCCAGAAACCTAGACCTAGATCATTTTCTGATTCTCAACAATCAGAGAAAACTCCTTGACCTCCTGATACCCAGACTCTCCTAGGCCTTCTTTCCTCACAGCACTTGTGATAGATGGAACCACAGCTTAGCTTTTTTACCTTTCTCATTTAGTTAGAGTAAATGCTCAGCGGAGTAAATACTCAGTGAAGTCAAGGCTTTTATATCTTCCTCCTTTGATGAAGTATAGCCGTCTTCCTTTTAGAATAAGATACTCAATTAATATTGTTGATTAAATGAATAAACTACCATCCCACTAAAGAAATCATACTCCAAAGGGGTATATTAGTCTGTTTTGTGCTGTTATGAAATGCCTGAGACAGAGTAACTTTATAAAGATGTTTATTTTGGCTCACACCCTGGAAATAAAAGGTCAAAACCCCACATATGGCTATAGTCTTTTTGCTAGTAGAGCCCTGACGTGGTACAGGGCCTATCACATGGAAAGAGACAAGAATACATAACTTCTTTATGTCTGTTTCTCTCTCTGTCCTCCCTTTCTCCCTCTCCCCCTTTATGAAACTAACAGTATTCAGGCATTCAATCATGAGTAGCACCCTGATGACCCGATCTAGTCCAGATCACTTCCCACAGACTCCTCCTCTAGACATCAGTCTTAATACCTCACAGTATCTCAATTCATTTTGCCTTAAGGGACTTTTAAACCATAGTAAGTCACAGCACACCATTATTGTAGATGCTCCTGAGAGACCAGTGTCTCAAATGGTGTGGCAGCTGAGGAGATATAAAACTGGCTTACAGGGGAAGCATTTCAGGGGGAGTTTCAGATATGTATAAGGTAGAGAGAGAGAGAGAGAGAGAGAGAGAGAGAGAGAGAGAGAGAGGAAGAGAGAGAGAAGCAACAGAAGCAGCCTCTCAGGTGTTACTGCTTTTGTAGACATATGACTCTGGGTTTTTTTAGAGAATTGGTATGTTCTGCTTTTGTTTTACTTATATAGTTCCTTTGGGTTTAAGTGACTAGATCTTTTGAGCTATCTATAGGAGACATGAAAATACCTTCTACGAACAACAGGAGTTTCAGAAGATGGAGCAAGGAAACCATGAGGACAGGGGAGTAGTTGTTGTATATGAAGACTAGGAATTGTAGGCTTCACAGTCTCTCTCTCTCTCTCTCTCTCTCTCTCTCTCTCTCTCTCTCTCCCTCCCTTCCTTTCACCCTCTCTCTCCTTCTCTGTCCCTCCTAGAAAAGGAAGTGTATTGTCCCCACTCTCTCTCTCTCTCTCTCTCTCTCTCTCTCTCTCTCTCTCTCTCTCTCTCTCCTCTCTTTCTCTCTCCCAACATCTAGGTAATTCCTGAGCTCATAGCCAGTGGACACTATCAGCATGGGTGGACCAGTTTTTCCCTGTTATATTAATTACTTCTCTTTTCATTGTGCTCTACCTACTATCTGAAAGAGAACATAAGGGAAGAAGACCTTTTATTCTGGCTTATGGTTGCATAGTCTGTCATGGCATAGAAGGGCATGACAAAAGCAGAGTGGGTCACATCACAGCAAGTGAAAAGAGCAGGAAAGGAATCCAGTAAGAGGCCAAGGAAAGATACAGGCCATGTACGTACCCCCAGTGTCCTGTTTTGTCCAGTTAGGCCCTACCTCCTACTTTTCACCACCTCTAATGATATCATTCATTATATTGTAACTCCACCCTCTGATTAGGCCAGAGCCCTGGTGGTATAGTCATCTCTGGGAATTGCATTGCAGACACACTCAGAGTTGTGCTCTACAGAGCTCAGATTCTTCCTAATTCAATCACATTAGCAAGAAAAATGAAGTACCTATTTAGTTGGAGAAGTCTCAGGGAAGGACTCTCATCTGTCCGCTTTTGTCACATGCTCCTCAGGTATGGTTGGTCAAGATCATCTAAAAGTAAGGAAGTTTCAGCAGGATTAGGAAGCTGATGTTACAGAAAGTGTTGCTGTTCCCCAGGATGGGTTATAGGCCTGAGAGGACAAGAGAATAGTTCTGTCATGAATGATACATCTGTACTGTTCTGTGTTGAAAAGCTCTTCACAGATCTCTCTATATAAATGGAAACTAACAAGAAAAATCTGTTCCTGAAGGTCAGAGTGCGCTAGGAGGGTTGAAAGTACAGTTTTAGGCACTCCATACGCTGCTCCATTTTGTCTTGGCCTTCATAGGCATGGGTTGAGGATCTGGGGTGAACCTCCTTACATCTCTATTCGAGTGGCACCAGGAATCATTTTTGATCCCAGAATTCCTTTTCTGACCTGTTCCCCTTTCCACACAGATTGTGCTTGAGAACAGCAGCCGAGAAGATAAACATGAATGTCCCTTCGGCCGCAGCAGTATAGAACTGACCAAGATGCTCTGTGAGATCTTGAAAGTGGGCGAGCTGCGTAAGTACACTTGCTTCCCCTGTGCGTGAGGAGCTGGGCAGACACTCAGCGTCCAAGTTTGAACCTCACACCTACGTGACAAATTTCCAGTGTGCCGTTACCTTCCACACCATCACTTTGGGTCGGTCCTTCTTCTGCTTGTTTCCTGTGTTCGTGTTTCTACATGTCTGCTCTGGAGAGCAACATTAGGAAAGCCTGCAGGGAGATAGATCCCTGGAGGTTCTGTGCAGAGTTTCTAGTATTATGGAAATGAGTAGATAGAACAAATGCCTTGCTGGTGGTTAGGTAAAAGGTCTATGCCTTTCTTTAATTCCAGTTTATAACCTTCCTGTAGATAATTTCCTTTTCTTTATCTCAAAATGATTTTTCTCCATAAAGAAAAATTGAATACCTTAATGAAATTCTCTTGCTCTCAGTGTTTCAGTTGTGGAGAATACTTACTCTAAAAAGAAAGAATTATTGAAGAAAATGAGTGGCTGAAAATGAAAAATGGGTCAGCGATATGCTTTTGGCTTTTTTCTTACTCATATTACAAAATTTATGAGAGGACATCCAGAAAAGGAGGAGATTATCATTTCTTTGCCATTTGCTCATTGGCATACTTCCACTTTAACATGAAGATGTCTATGACTTGGCCTGTTCCCATTGTCATCAATGTCATGTCGCCTCAAAGCAACTGACTCCCCCTCCGCTGTCTATGGAAATGGCACACATTTAAATCTTTCCTCTCAGACTTAACAACAGGAGTGCCAGAGAAGACTGTTTATATCAGGAAAATGTTGGGGGTAGTGTTTGATTCTATTGTGAAAAGCACAAATATGTGACCACCTGCTTAAGATCTTAAAATAAGGGTGTGAAATGACTAATAGGAAGGAATTTCATGATTAAATTGAAAAGGGGGGTTATATTTTATTTACATTGTAAAGAAAACTACAGGTGTTGCTGACAGAAATGAGAACACAGTAATTAATAAAGAAAAAATTAACAAGTTGAGCTGTTGAACTAAGCAGGAGCCTTTATCATCTTTCAGTGAGAGCCAGTTGGGTAAACCAGTTGACCTTGACAGGGACCTGCCATTGAAGGTCATTACCTATGAGCCCCCGTCAGTGCATAGCCCTGTTAGGACAGGAGCAGCCTACAGGGGGTGTCTGTTAAACTGCCCTCTCTACTGCTCACTTGGGGTTGCGACTGCAGCTTGCAGGGATCCTTGATGTGAGTTGTCTGCCCCTTTCCTAATGGGGCCTGCAGTCTTCAGTGTCACGTACTGTTTGTTCAGCTTAAGCATTTAAATCCTAAATCAAATACATCCCATATAATCTCTCCATCTGATAACTGTGACTGTTTCATATTTATCTCAGTTTCATGAAAGAAATTGTCTTACATGCTAAAAATCATTTCAAGGCCACCTGAACCTTTCCAATACTAGAGACTTGCTCATGTTCTGCTAGGCCGGGATCTCTGTCAAGTTATCGCCCTACATTGTCTCTTTCCTGCCCACCTTTTCCATCCTCCCAACAGCACGCTTTGGCAGCTTGATCGCATCTTGAGGGGAACAAGAGTATATTCTTGTGCTGTGATGTCCCTTGCCCAGCTTTCCGTTCTTCTCTTTTGCTCAGAAGTCATATTCTGTTATGCTGAAAGTTAATCCAGAAAAGTTACATGGTATCAGAGAAGGAGAGAAGGGCATGCTGGCAACCCAGAGAATGTGTGTCCTTGCCACTGGGTATTGTGGTGTCTGTGCCGATTATTCACTAGAGTCGCTGTACTCTTCCAGCCCCACATGGTCACCAGAGTTGAACATCTCAAAATGAACTGGTAGTATCTGGTGTGATGATCTGAGTATTGTCTTCACTTTGTAGCTAAAACTGCAGAAATACCAATGGGAACAGCCTGTTAGAGACAGAGAGTGTTCATCCTGAATGGACTGGCCTGGAAAATATGGTTAAATTCTAGAGCAGGTTGTGGCTGAGGTAAACACAGCCCCTGTCTGAACTGGCCTTTGGGTTGGTGTGGCAGTACCTGTGAGGGAAAGGAACCAAGGTGGCAGGAGTCTGAGGTCTCTGCACTCCCCTGGTGAGTTTCTGCTCTGCATTTGTAGCTGGAGTTGGTTTGGAAGAGGGGAGAATGTCTGGCCTCTAGCAGCATAGAGATACCCATTCAGCCTTTTAAGGACTTGCCCTTCCATTCAAGAAGAGGACAGAACTCCATTCCTGTGAACTGAGATAGCAAGGAGGTAACAGAGGCTCATGGACTAGCACAGTGACACAGCTCCTCTTGTCATTTAAAAAAAACACCTTCTTATTTAAAAAATAAAAATTAAATGTGGATGAGTGTCTGCATAAATGTATGTCAACCATGTGTATGCAATGGCTTCCAGGGCTTGAAGAGAGCATTGGATCACCTGGAGCTGGAGTTATAAGATGGTTGTTGACTGCTTTGTGTGTGCCGGGAACTGAACCCAGTTCCTCTGCAAGAGCAGCCAGTGCTCTTAACCCTTGAGCCATCTCTCCAGCCCACATCTCCCACCTTCTGATGAAAATCCTCAGCATTCTGCCACAAATCACACAGCAGGTGCTCAAGGTGCCTCTGTACTGAGACTGGGCTTGGGTAGCCAGAGCCTGCAATTGTCAGGGTAGTGGTCCTTCAGCTAAGATAAGGAACATATTGATCCATTTGTTCAGTAAAAATCTACTGAATATTCATAATGTGCTGGACACTTCAAGTATAATTGAAGTAGATCTGGTCCCTCTCCCCAGAAACTTCTAGAAATTTTTTAAGCCTCAGAATGTGGGAAGATGAGCTGGGGTTGATACTTTTCTGCTATTACTTGGAATTCATTATTATTTTCAAATAAATGCCTATTTGCTTTATAGGCAATTTTCCCAATATTCTGAGAGTTTCAAAAATTTGAAGTTGCAATCCCTGTAAAGGCCATTCTGGACATTTTTCAAGGCTTACAAAAAATTTTCACTTCTCTGAGGTGAAACATGCCCAAATGAGTTGTTTTCTGCTCATGAAATATTAAAGGACTGCTACACTCTGATTGAACGCTAGACATCAAATGATAAAACACCCCATGGTAAGAGGAAAATTGCTTTTTTAATAGATTGCCTTTTGCTCATTGCCATATTAAATAAGTTACTAATATGAAAAACAAATCTGAATGCAACCTTATGTTGAAGGAGATATCTATTTTTCTTTTGAGGAAAATTAGTTTCACACACAAATTTATCTTCTTTTGGTTCATATGCATCCATTTTTCTCATTCCTAATTTCATGATTCTGAGTGTTTCTCAGATTTGCGTTAGTAACTGACCTTGAGAATCATGGTCAGTTTAAACTCTGTAAGCAAATTCTGAGACCAAAGAAGTGCCCAGTTAAAGATCTAACTGGCAGAAAAAACGGATTTTTATAAAGACAGAAAGAGTCGATTTTCTAGAAATGAATTCTCCTTTGGTTTTAATTTTAGGTCTTCAGGAAATCTATTAAGAAATGCCAAATATATTTTATTATCTAAAGCAAACATATTAATGTTAAGTTAAATTACAGATACCAAATATGAGCAGTTTCTTTTTAGGCTGCTTAAAAAAACAAACACAAAGAAACAAACAAAAAACCCACCTCACTATGCTTCCACTCCTCAGTTACTGTCACGGAAAGAGGCAACTGTTATCTCTAGTAGCATGGTTTAAAAATAATGTCTATTTATATTCTCAGAGCACCTCACTGAGATTGTTTAATTGAAGTTGGTTGCACCCTCAGGAGTTCAGTAAGATCAGTACGATCTGTGTTTATTAATGAAGGGAGAACCTACTCTGCGTAGTGTGTGGTCACTGCACTAAACTATAGCTCAGGATGCCCAGAGAGCCATGAAGAGAAAGGTGGAAAGAGAAAGCAGTGGCGTTTGGAGGCCTGAAGGACCTAACTTTGAGCACCCCTCACCCACTTTGGGGTGCCTTGGCAGGCTTCTCCACTCTTTCGAGCTTCTGGTTTCTTATCAGTAAAGTTAATACCTGCTGCACACAGTTGTGGGAGCTTAAATGAGATAACAGACATTGCCTTAGTTGGAACATTAATGGGGTTACTTTGTTTGTTTGCAAATGAGAATCTTACTTTCCATGAGCACTTTATTGAGAACTGGTGCTGCACCGGGTACAATGGCTTTGTTTCTTCACTTTACGTTTGGCCAAAATTTAATAGAATTGGCCCTCCATGTTCTGAATCCATAGAATCAACAGACTCTGGATTTAAAATATTTGGAAAATAGACTTCATCAGTAATGAACATAAACAAAATTTTTCTTCTATTATTTTCTGATACAACAGCTACTTTACATAGCATTTACTGTGTGTTAGGTACTATAAGTCACCTAGAGATTATTAAAGTATATAGGCAGCTATGCCTAGGTCATATTCAAATATTGCAGTATTTTATGTGAAGGACTTGAGCATCCTTGGATTTTGCTTTCCTCTGGGAGGTTCAGGATCATTTCCCCCAAGAACACCAAAGAACAGCTGCATACTTTTTTAACCTGCTTTCTCCAGGAGGCTCTTTTGAGAGCAAGGCATATGTTTCCCTCAGTTTCCATTTTAAAAATTAGAAAGAATCCTCACAAAACTGGATGTGCATGATCACGTACACCCATAGTCTGGAATATAGAATTAGCAGCCCCAATTAGAAGAATAAAATTGAAGGGGAATGAGGGAGCCTTCAAGAGAAGAAACACACATTTATTTGCAGAGTGTATAAATGTGGACAGAAGGAAGGGGTAGTACTCTTAGAAAAAGGGAGGAAAAAATAAGTAAATTCATAAATACTTGTTACAGAGCTGAAGACTTCAGAAAGGTACCCAGCTTGTAGGTGAAGAGAAATGCAGAGATACTTGTTGTTCTTGATATTACAGCATTTGTCACAAGAAATAAGAGTGTTTTTGAGTGAAAATTTGATTTCTGATGCAAGCAGATTGATGACTCACGTTTCAAACTTGTGACCTCATGCCT